ACAACAGGTTAGTATTGTCGGAAGACCGCTCTCATTTGAGAGCTACATGTGGTACTAAATAATGTGCGCACAGCTTTCAGTAGCCCACAATTAATTATGTTGTTGTTCCTGTGTTTCTTTACAGACCAAGAGCAATGAAATTACAACGCTTGCAACGTCATAAAAACGACGGCATTCATGTCTAGGAGGCGGTTCATATCCATCTTTTTCCGGATCATCAACTATTAGCGTGTTAGCCACATCCGAGCTTAATCTGCCGCTTTAGCCCATTTCTTTTTTTTCAGCTATCACTTTCTTCATTAGGCGCCGTTAACAAAGCCGTCATTTTTTGCTTGCAGAGTAGTAAAATGAACCCAGGCCGGAACGCACCGGGCGTGCCCGTGCGATCATGCGTTTTTGCACTGGACTTGAAGTACCCAGGTCATTAAATGCATGAATGGTTGATGCTTTGCGCCTACCTTTTGCGGTCACTAACATAAATCACCATAAATTTTGCATGAAGTAAATGTACGATTTCCATTTAACTATCGTTCTTTAAAAGTAACCTAGTTGTTTAGCCAAAAATTCAGCCAAAATTTTAAGTGCTCGTACGTAAGAACCGCTGAATTTGAAATACTTAAATTGTACTTGGGCAGGGAACATTACCCTAAAATTTCAGCTTTCTAGCTTTTCTGGTCCCCGATTTAGCAATTTCCCCGCAAAAAGCTTCTGGCGTGCGTGAGTATCACGCACACTTGGAGCTGAGTTTGAAATCTTTAGCTAGCACATGCGCAGCGAATATCCCTACAGAGATATGCAAATATTATAGGAAAATTAGAGAGAGAAAAAGGATGATGATGATAGTATAGCAAATTGAAACGTCCGCGCACGGGACACATACGTCGCCAGGAACACATTTCAAAGCTACAGATCCACACGTGAACAGTGAACATACTCAGCAAAATACTGTTTCCTGCTTGGTCCAGTTACCAAGCTACTTGATGTCAGCGGTATCTGCAACTAACAGTTCACTTGTACGCACACGAGAGCTGGGCATGTTCCAAGGCTTAAACTGTAGTATTTTGGTCGTACATGGAAATAGAATATCCTTGTTTCCTCTTAGTTTCATAGCATGTCTCTTTAGCAAAATCGGTCCTTGTTACTTAGAATATTTGGCGTCCAGAACTCGCGACCCAGGCGTATGCTAATGCTCATTTTAAGTCTGCTTGTACAATTATGGGAATTAAATATTCTTGCGAAATTAGTTCCAGAATTGGCGTTTTGCCAACGACGACTGAAATGTTCGTGCACAAAGCCTATATGCCTGAAATGTTCGTGCACAAAGCGTAAAGCTGATTTTGGAATCTTTAGCTCATACACGCACAGGGAATATCCCTGTAAAATTTCAACCCTCTATCTTGTTTGGTTCCCGACATCGCTTTCCTGCCAAAAAATTCGCATATTTTTTCAAGGCGTCCGAGCGCGGCACTCAGAAGTGCGAAGATGATGATATCAAAGTGGGAGAGTCGCTTAGGTAGTGGACACACACTCTTGAAAATTCAGCCTCCTAGCATTTCTGTTTCTCGAGTTGAAAGTGGGTAATAAAAAGTGCGAATACGCAGACACACACACACACACACACACACACACGCACACATACACATACACACAGAAAGCCTCTTGGCAATATGCGTTTCTGCAGTTTGAATATATGCAGCCAGACTGGAACGCACCAGGCGGGCCGGTGCGATTATGCGTTTTTGCACTTTTCGTGCCGTAGCAAGATCGCAAGGAGGAAAATAGCTAACCCTCTGGAATACTGGCCCTCGAAGTTCACGCACCAGCACAAGAAAGCTGAATTCGGAACCTTGATGGGCGAATATCTTTCCTTGATTCCCGAGTTAATAGTTTACCAGCCAAAATTTTCACTAGCCCGTGATAGCCGAGAGCGCGGGAACGCTGAATTTGATTGAGCAAGGTTGAGCGCGGGCAGGGGGTCATCGCCTTAAAATTTCAGCCTCCTAGACTCCGCGGTTCCCGAGATATTAATTAATCCGAAAACTTTCACGGGTCCATACGTGTTACCCGCGGGTACAGGGAAGTTGAATTTAAATTTGCGGGATCAAACGTGGATGGGGAAAGTTACCCTTAATTTTTAGCTTCCTAGCTTTTGTGATTCTCGAATTGAAAGTTGCGGACAAGTTGCTGCAGACACACACACACACACAAATGCACACAGACAACTCCGTGACAATATGCGTTTTGTACTGCTGTTACACAGCACAAAACGCATAATAAAGATTAAATAGGAAGAAAAAAGATAATAATTCATGTCCGTTTTGATATTTCCAACGCGCTTGTACGGCCAAGCTTCCCTCGCCACTTTGCCAAAACCTTACGCTTCTTCTGCCTAACTTCATCGCCTTATGTCCAAATCTTCGTTGCCTTCTGTCCAAATCCTATGCCCATTGAAGCAATCTTCCGTTTACTTTTCTTTTTTGCTCCTTTGCTAACTTTTGCAATTTGCGGACGCGACTTTCAAACATTTTATATGATCAACCTTATTCTTTCTTAATATATATTATAGTATTTTTCTTAAATTTTAACTAGTTTCGTCCGATTTTCGTGCCTCTACTACCGGTTTTAAGGTTCCACCTTTATTGTATTTGTTTTACAGGTCCTATATCGGTTCAACATCCATAATGGCGGAGGTTTGTTTTCCTAAATGCACTTTTACCGTTTGTTCTAACCTTTTTACATTATCAAAATTCCCCTTTTTCTTCTTGACACTTTGCATGTTATTTTTGCTGCAATCGTCACACTGACGGGGTCCAGTTGCAGCACTGAACAGGAATGTATGCGACTTAATGGACCGAAACATTCCTATTCAGCTTTTTTAATCCGATTTATCTTATTCACCTTCTTTTTATCCCTTTCTTTTTAACCCTTTTTATGCGTTTTTGCCTATATGCAAATTACAACCCAGGCTGGAACGCACCGGGCGGGCCCGTGCGATCATGCGTTTTTGCACAGGACTTGAAGTCCCAGGCTGGAACGCACCGGACGGGCCCGTGCGATCATGCGTTTTTGCACAGGACTTGAAGTACTGAAACTGCATGAATGGTTGTTGCTTTACACCTACCTTTTGCGATCACTTGCATAAATCACCATAAATTTGCAAAAGTAGGTTGGGAGCTAGAGGGCTGAGTTTAAAACATTTATCTTGTACGTGCATAGAGAATATCCCTGCAAAGTTTCAGCCTTCTACGTTGCCTGGTTCGCGTACAGTTTCCCGCCTACAAATTCCTTTGGGGGTCTCGTGCGCGGGGTTTAGGCGCGTATGGGGGAAG